AAATAAAGCAAAAATCCCTAAAGTTTGGAGCAAATACCTTATAATCCAAATACAGAAACCTGGGAAATCAATTGAATCTGCAGAATCATATAGACCTATCTCACTAGTGTCATGCATCTTGAAAACTTATGAAAGAATAATAATTAAAAATAGAAAACCAGCAACTACTATCAACATTCCAGTACGGTTTTAGAACGTTCAACCATAGAAGCAAATGCCATATTTATTTTCGACGTTCAGAAGACATTCACTGTAAATAACTCAATTTCAGCATTATTTTTGGATTTAAAAGGGGCATATCATGCAGTTAATTTGCGTATTTTGGCCGGGAAACTTCTAACATTAGGTATCCCTAATAGAATAACAACTAACATCAACATGCTTTACGAAAATAGAAAATTATATTTAAAAATAAATGGACAGATTAGTTCTCATAAAACAACTTATATCGGTATCCGCCAAGGTAGCATTCTAAGTCCCCTTCTTTTTATATCATTTATATCGGATATTAACTTCATTATGCAACCTCAGACAAGAGTGCTGCAATTTGAAAATGATTTATTTATATATTCTGAAAAAAAAAGCAATTGAAAATACAATATTAGATTTACAAATAGCACCTAAAAGTGCTACACGAAGGGCGATTAGAAATGGTTTCGAAATCTCTCAAGAGAAATCAGTTATATACACTTTCACTCGTCATCGGTACCAGTCACCAAATCAATTTAATTTAGGTCCACTTACGATTCTATGTAAATTATCTGTATTGGGGTAATATTAAACAAAAAATTATCCTGGAAAGATCATATTAATCATCTCGTTAAAAAAGTGAGAGTACTATAAATGTACTTAGAGCCTTTTCCAAACATAGCCCTGACATTCTATAAAGCTCTTATCCGTTCAGTGCTTGATTATGGATGTGTAATATATGGTAATGCTAGCTTGAGTCAAGTACAAAAAGTTGAAGTGAATAAAAATAAGAGTGTACGATTATGCCTAGGAACCTTACAAAGTACTCCTGCAAATGTATTAGAAGTAGAAGCAGCAGAACCACCACTAGAGATTAGAAGAGAATACCTTAGTAATATTTTTGTATCTAAATTACTGTCTCAAAACCGGACTAGAGAGCTGCAAGAACTAAAAGCTAAAATAAACTATGCATATTGATGACGTAAGAAAAAACCCCTTTGAATATCAATTTTACAACTACATAATGTTCAGATCTTCCTTTATAAAAAACAACAAACTTCCTTGTTATAATTTAGAATATAATCTGCTAGATCTTCAACTACAACTTTACTACCTTCAGAAACATCAGCCGAAACATCATAAACCACATTACTAATAATGCCATAAGAACCAGATGTCTTAACGCAGAATATATTTATAGAGATGGATCAAAAATTTAAGACAAAACTGGATGCGCCTTATACCATTCGAACGACAATGTATCACGGATGTTTAAACTACCAACTCACATGTCCATTTACACGGCAGAACTTATACCAATATTAGAAGCATTAAAATACGCCATTAATCATGATAAATCCAATTTCGTAATTATAACAGACAGCAAAAGCGATACTAATTCTTTAAAAAATATACAAATTTCAAGAACATTACCAGTAGTGATACTGAAGATTTTTAGAAACAGCTAGAATTCTCCTCATTATAAGGAAGCAATTAGAAAGCTGGCAAGAATTATGTTCAAACTCATTAGTAGGAGTAAGGTTTCGAGAGATGAATCCCAAAATTAGTAGAAATCAGCATATGATTAAAACCATAAACAGAATATGAAGTAAACATGGATTATATCCAGAACACAAAGTTAAAATAGGTTTGACAGATTCCCCATTCTGTAGTTGTAGGCAATTGGGTGACTTACAACATTTAATCTGTAGCTGCCCTCATTTTCAAAATCTAAACGAAGAATTTTACAAGAACCTGCAACCAGCAACAGTCCCCACCAACTTAGATGCGCTTTTATGTTCAAAAATGTAAAACTGTACTAAGTTGTATATGAACCTTCTGAAAAAAATGAATCAAGATATTTAAAAAAAAAATACAGATATTATAAATAATAAAAAAAAATGGATACGAAAAAACAAAACAAACAAAAAACAAAAAATACTTGTGGCACTCGGGGACTGCCGCGGTAAAGCTATTGCATAGCATTTTTTTATCAACTTATACAATTATAATTATTTATTTATTTTATGCAGTAATTTTTTTTCTTTGATATTAATTCAAGTTTTTTCTTTGATATTAATTCACTTTTTAAGCGTGGTGACCGATAAGAAAACAATTTTTTTTCTTTTATTGAATAAATAAAAAGTTAATATTGTTTAAAATATTTTTATTATCTTACAATACATGTAGGTTATTCAGGAATTTTTATCATTGAAATTATAGGTTTATGGTAACTGAAATAAGAAACATAAGTTGGAGACTTGATATCCTCTAAATATCTGGAAAATACCGCGTCAATAGTGGTTCCATATTTTGTTGTGGATTCTTGTGGATCATTATTCATTTTCAAATTCAATTTTTCCGAAATTGTGTCTAAAAGAGTCATGAGCAGATAGCAGCGAGTCTACACCCATACGTCTAGTCGCACGCACACAAACACCGTGCCGAAGTCTGCCGAACTAAAACGATTTTTCGATTTTTCGATTTTTCGATTTTTCGATTTTTCGATTTTTCGATTTTTCAATTTTTCGATTTTTCGATTTTTTCGATTTTTCGATTTTTCGATTTTTCGATTTTTCGATTTTTCGATTTTTCGATTTTTCGATTTTTCGATTTTTCGATTTTTCGATTTTTCGATTTTTCGATTTTTCGATTTTTCGATTTTTCGATTTTTCGATTTTTCGATTTTTCGATTTTTCGATTTTTCGATTTTTCGATTTTTCGATTTTTCGATTTTTCGATTTTTCGATTTTTCGATCTTTCGATTTTTCGATTTTTCGATTTTTCGATTTTTCGATTTTTCGATTTTTCGATTTTTCGATTTTTCGATTTTTCGATTTTTCGATTTTTCGATTTTTCGATTTATCGATTTATCGATTTATCGATTTTTCGATTTTTCGATTTATCGATTTTTCGATTTTTCGATTTTTCGATTTTTCGATTTTTCGATTTTTCGATTTTTCGATTTTTCGATTTTTCGATTTTTCGATTTTTCGATTTTTCGATTTTTCGATTTTTCGATTTTTCGATTTTTCGATTTTTCGATTTTTCGATTTTTCGATTTTTCGATTTTTTGATTTTTCGATTTTTCGATTTTTCGATTTTTCGATTTTTCGATTTTTCGATTTTTCGATTTTTCGATTTTTTGATTTTTTGATTTTTCGATTTTTCGATTTTTCGATTTTTCGATTTTTCGATTTTTCGATTTTTCGATTTTTCGATTTTTCGATTTTTCGATTTTTCGATTTTTCGATTTTTCGATTTTTCGATTTTTCGATTTTTCGATTTTTCGATTTTTCGATTTTTCGATTTTTCGATTTTTCGATTTTTCGATTTTTCGATTTTTCGATTTTTCGATTTTTCGATTTTTCGATTTTTCGATTTTTCGATTTTTCGATTTTTCGATTTTTCGATTTTTCGATTTTTCGATTTTTCGATTTTTCGATTTTTCGATTTTTCGATTTTTCGATTTTTCGATTTTTCGATTTTTCGATTTTTCGATTTTTCGATTTTTTGATTTTTCGATTTTCTTTTACTGAATAAATGAGAAGTTAATATTGTTTAAAGCCGCACCGCTGTGCCGGTCGGAGTGGGGGGTGTTAGGTTTTTTTCGTTACGGTTTCGTTTTTTTTTCTTGATTCGGTCGCCGCGCTCAAAGCCCGCGATAAAAGCTATGCAATAGCTTAAAAAAACAAAAACAAAAAAAAATAAAAAAAAACAAAAATAAATATAAAAAAAATGGAATTCGTTGTATAAATATGTATAATTAATTCTAACACAATTGTTTTAATTCTTGTTAAATTGTAAATAAGGTGTAAATTTTGGTACTTTTAGTTCCTTCATTATTAATTATTGTATTGTATTGTATTGTATTGTAATTTGTGAAAATTGTAAGTAGGTTTAGATTCATTTTAACAACATTAGCTCTGGTCAATTGATCTGGCCATCAAAAGAAACACACACACATAATAACTTTAGGTAAGACAAATCAGATTTTTTATTATTACGTTAGAATGTATAAATTGGCCGAACTTATATCTGCTTACACCTCGTTGATAAGAGGTTGCGGCCAAGTGAGAAACGACAATCTAAACTTTTTAAGTTCATTATATATCTCTTTTTAACCGACTTTAAAAAAAGAGGTGGTTATCAATTCGTCGCGATATTTTTTTTTTTTATGTATGTTCAGCGATAATTCTTTAACACGGTGTCCGATTTCAATAATTCTTTTTTGTTAGAAAGGAGCTACTTCAGGGGTGGTCCCATATAAATTTGGTCAAAATTTAAAAATTGGGTCCATGATAAAATCATCAAGCTCTTCATTTTTTATGTATGTTTAGCGATAATGCTTTACCACCTTGTCCGATTTATATGATTCTTTTTTTGTTAGTAAGGGGATACCTCAGGGATGATCCCATATAAATTTGGTTAAGATGTGGTGATGGCATCTGCACGTTTTTGAAGTCGGTTTTTTTAAATTTTTAATTTACACTTGTATATGAATTATATTTTATCTTCAAAACAAGTGATAAAAATTGATTGAAAAAATTAATTAAAATTATTTGCTACCAAATTTTGATAGGCAATCCGCTAAAACCGTATTTGTCTATCGATAATTATGTATAAAAAATTTATTTTAAATTAAAAACGATGAGTTCAGTTAGCAACGGTCGGATCTCGTAATATTAAACCCCATAGGTAGGAGGGCCTCAGTAATTTAGTTGAAATTCAGGTTATTACTCGTTCCATTGAAATCATACATATACTTGATTACAAAAACTATGAAGGAAAATAAAATGTATAAAACTTACAGTTCTGCATCTGGCTTGGTATTCCAGAAAAGATTGTCTGCGGTCTTCAACTATTTGACACCATGCTCTTGTATCAAGTGTCGAAGAATAGGATTTCAAACGCCCTTCTGATCTTACTAAAGAGAGGCTCGTTTTATCTTTGACTTCGAGAAATACTCGTAGTTTTCTGTTCAAGTAAGTCATTGTTATATATTATTTTATACTTATTTATTCAAGTTTAGTTTTGCACAATAGTGAATTGGGATTTCATTGTTTGTTTTACTAATATACCAGTTTCAATTTCAAATGTTTATACCTACATATTAATTGATTCAAATTAGAGTAATTTCTAAATAACTGACATTTTAGAATTTTAATATCAAATATGTATCAAATAAATGACTTAAGGCTTTGACATAACCTTGAAATTCTTTAAGCGAGCTTCAAACTATTAGTGACGTAATTTGTGTTTCAATTCACTGATCTGCATTAACAGATCAGTGTTCCAATCTTAGTGACTATAAGTAGAAGTTATAAGTACGCATTCATAACCATTTTCTTTTACTTTTAATCGACTTCAAAAAAAAGAAGGAGGTTCTCAATTGGTCGAAATATATTTTTTTTGTATGTTTAGCGATAATTCTTTACCACGGAATTAGGCTGGAAAATCTACCCCGAATATAAAGGTATACCTAATGGGGCAACATTGTTTAAGTCACACGAATATCGTACAACCCTCCAGAATTTATAAAGAAATATTGGAATTTTCTTTACCAGATTTAGATGAATATTTAATTAAGGCCAAGTTTAATAAAACTAAACTACCAATAATAAAAGATTACATTGAATTGATGGGGTCGGACCTGGATGACTCCCAGGTAGGTACCATAAATATTCTTGTAATTCCTGTATATGCATAGTATACGTTGACATCTTAAGGACTTAAACATAAGTAGGTTTATGTTAATCTGTTGATAAAATATTCTATAGACAATATTAAATAAATATTTAAAATGAAAGCTTGTCTTGGATCTTGTTTGGAATTTGGAAGGTACTACTTCTACTTATCACTCAGATGATAGCTGCCAAATACAATACTTTGACAATACAATGCACTGGGTGGTCAACTGCGTGTTCGGTTGGAATAAGTTAGTATGACGTCACTAAATTGAACCAGTGCTGAGCAACGAAAACTCGCACTTCACGAGTGTGAACTGAGTGTGGCCAGTCGAAAACGCTACAACCATGCTACAACATAGGGCGCGGCCATTTTGAACCCTGTGACACATTTTACAGCTAAAGAATCAGATCGCTCACTCTGCGTCGGCACTTTTGATCTCAATGTTTCAGTTTATACACTGTGCAACTCGGATAATACAATATATGACAACCGCCTATAATAAAACAGCAGTCTTCTGCGTATCCTGAATTTGTATCCCTGGAGTGGATGTTATTTTGTAACTTTCAACTGGTCCGAGTGAGCTAACTGATTCTTCAGCATAAACTGTGACTTCAAAAATAATATTCACTGACACTGACAACAGCAAGCAAAATATCAGGTGCGTTTTAATCATCCGCTGCTGCTTCCGGAATTGTCGGTTTAGTCGTTTTAACCTGTCAGATTAAAACAAGTAAACCGACAATTCCGAAGCAGAAGCGGATGATTAAAACGCACCTATTAAAAATTAAGCGCCAAGATGTAGGCAACACGTAATAAGGGATCAGAATAGCGGAGTTTTCTGTCTCCTTTTAAAAGGCACTCAGAAAGCTGCGCAGTGCGACCATTCTCCGTATAGTAAAAGAAAATCAAAGTATGTGGCCACAGCACAATTAGACATTTTATAGTTTTACTACTGTCATAATAAAATTGCTGAAGAAATCACCACACTTTAATTTAAACCCTTTAAAACATCCAAAGATGGAAAACACAAAATCAATATACACTTTAAACTCTTCAAATAGGTACTTCAAAAATAAACAGCATGCAAGAAAATACCTTTAACTCCTATTTAATACACATACTTTGATTTTCTCTTACTATGCGGAGAATGGTCGCTCTGCGCAGCTTTCTGAGTGCCTTTTAAAAGGAGATAGAAAACTCCGCCATTTTGAACCCTTATTACGTGTTGCCTACATCTTGGCGCAATATTTTTAATAGGTGCGTTTTAATCATCCGCTTCTGCTTCGGAATTGTCGGTTTTTTTGTTTTAATCTTACAGGTTAAAACGACTAAACCGACAATTCCGGAAGCAGAAGCGGATGATTAAAACGCATCTGATATTTTGCTTGCTGTTGTCAGTGTCAGTGAATATTATTTTTGAAGTCACAGTTTATTGCTGAAGAATCAGTAAGCTCACTCGGACCAGTTGAAAGTTCCAAAATAACATCCACTCCAGGGATACAAATTCAGGATACGCAGAAGACTGCTGTTTTATTATAGGCGGTTGTCATATATTGTATTATCCGAGTTGCACAGTGTATAAACTGAAACATTGAGATCAAAAGTGCCGACGCAGAGTGAGCGATCTGATTCTTTAGCTGTAAACTGTGTCACAGGGTTCAAAATGGCCGCGCCCTATGTTGGGCGTGTCGGACCTCTCTCTTGCCTCGTATAGTATTCAAAGTATGTGGTATTATATCGTTATGCTTTCTAATTAGAAATATAGTATATTGTTTCACGAGTGACGAAAAATGATTTTCGACGAGTAAAACACTATACTTTTTCTACGAACTCTATTATGTCATGTAGGTACCTACTAAAATGAAAAAAAAAAAACAAACGTTAGCAAATGCTTTATTTTGTGTTAGGAATAACAAAAAATTAACCAACAATTAAATATTTCAGAAATATTATTTATTATTTAAATATTGATTTATTGTTATATTTGAACAATTGTTCAAAATTATGGGGGTATCACACTCAAGCTTTTTATTTATTGAGGTAGATGCCGACATATTTGTTCTACTGTTAAATATCATTTCAGATGATGATGCGCCATAATCGGATGAACTAGTAGTTTCCTTATTTTGTACAGATTGTAAAATTTTGGTTTGTATTTGGTTTTTACTGTTCGTGGATTCATCAATATATCCTTCCGCAACACTACTAGATTTCCAACCACCGTGCTTTTTTAACAGAAGCAAGTCACCTCTTGCATCCACTAATAGCGTTGCGGATGTTCTGCGGAAACAGTGCCCAGTGTAATCTTGAGGATTCGGAAGCGTTAAAAACTGAGCAATTTCGTTAGGAAATTTTCTGATTATTTTAATTCCAACAACCTGTCTGCTACACTTTCCATTCTGATAGTTAATAAAGAATCTCTAATTAATTTGATCCATGTTTGCGGAACGTAGGCTCATATATTTTTTAGAAATATCATAAAAGGGTCCAGAAATATGAAAAGAACACGGAACTTTTGTTTTTGTATTACGGATTTTAACTAACAGAATACTTCCAGTATCCTTTACATCGCTTATTGTTAAATCTTTTAGTTCGTGACAACGACAAGCGCCAGATAATCCAAAAACTAATGCTACCTACAAATATTAGTAGTTATGTATTAAGTATTTGTTAAATTAAAAATAATAATTCCGTTACCTTTGTTATTAAATATTTATAGTCAGGTGCATTCTTTAGGAAAGTCTTTATGTCTTCAGGTGAAAACATTTTGGATTTTTGGCTTTTAAAACCATCAGATTTTCTTTTCAAAAGCGAACGTAACTTTGGATATTTACTAATATCGACATCATTTTTAACAGACAGTGTAGTTCTTAGCATCGAATAAATGGACCATAACGTCGACGGTTTAAAATTTGAACATATTTCTCCAAAGTATGCTAGTAGTACAGTTTCCGAAAATGATTTCACTTTATTTTTTTCTCTCACAGTCCAAAAATTTGATATAAATTTCTTCATATCTCTTTTTTGATTTGGCCGGTAAAGCTAAAGAGTTTTCTTCAGCTTTAAAAATAATTTCTAGGGGAGTACAATCGCTTTCTGACTCAGACATCATGAAAATGTGTTAAATTTAGGACGAACTGAAACTGACAGTTCTCAAAAGTGATAAAACTTCAAATAAACAAATGAAAACCAGGAAACTAGATGTAGATTGGTTTAATTTGCACTATTTTTATACATTTTTATTTTATCTTTAATTCATTAAAGTTTAGGTAAAAACGCATATAGAATTTAATGAGTATCTTTTTATTTCATTATTAATAATTATAAGCTGCCAAAATATTATACGAGGCGACTGATATATAAAAATATGTAACAACTTACTTTCGTCACTAGAGACGAAAGTAAACGTTATGGGATTTTTTCTCACTAGTGACGGAAATCAAGTTTTCGCTGAAAGTATCCTGTGGCGAAAGATGTCTTTTTCTACACCCGTATTATAATAATGCACTTATATGCCCATAATCCGTTTCATAATGATACCCATTATGATACAGATTTTTCATTACGATACAGATTTTTAATCAATAGAAACCTACAATTTTTCAATCAAGCATGCTGTTTGACGTTTGTCCTAGGTTCCTATGTAATTATTTTAGTTGTCAAAACGTATTAAATTTTCGTAGGTAGCTAAACTTCGATAATTATAATATTAAAATGTCTGATATTAGCGATATAGAAGACTCCTCCACACATATCGGAGAAAGCAGAAAATAAAGTACAAAATATTTTACCGCAAAAATCTAGGGAAATACCAATACCTGAAGTAATACCATTAATTACAATTTTGTAGAATTTTTTATAGAAATACGAGTAATTACTGTTATTGTGTTCAATACCAATATAAATATAATATTTATAGGTCTTGATTATTTATCGGGTGTAGAAAAAATAGCGTATGCAACTCTCATGTAATGGTTATTAAAACACTCGCATAAACCATACGAAACTCGCCTTTGGCTCGTTTCGTATCCCGGTTAATGCTCGTGTATTAATAACCATCATTACATGATCGTTGCATAATATACTATTTTGTATGAGTTCGTAGAAAAAAACTGTTTCAAACGTCAATCAAATACTGTTTGCTTTATGCCACTTTATGCGCAGAAAGTGAGAAATTTGGTCAAATTAGTAGCATACCGGTATTTATGTATCGTGGATCTAGCTCTGTGTCTCTAGTCTTCACAGTCTCGGATAAACTGAAAACTTAAATGTCAAAGTCAACTTACGTTATGTAAAACAAACATTTATACATTTTAATATTTCAATATTTGTAAACGCTATGTTAATATTACAGTTATTTACCTACTCAATACTTAAAATCAAAAATAATTATATTAATTAATTAAATTAATATAATTTGCAGATATGACATACGTAGATAAGAATCTACGAGCTTTTCTCGATGCAACTGCTATTACACCATTACGGCGTCGTTCAGAAGGCAGACTGAAGGCTTACCTTTCTACTGAAGATGTAAGAGCTTGGAATTATACAGTTGAAGATAGAAGACGACAAATTCTGGACATCGTAAGACGTGATATAGACCGTGTAAGTAACATTATTTGTTATAGTTTTATTTTAACATTGGAAATGTTTATGACCGTACGTATGGGACCAAGTTATGAGTTTTTGAACAAGGAAAAAAGATATAACCTCGATACCGCGGTCTATCATTGACGGATTTATGCATTCTGGAGAGCTCAGAAATATAGAAAAGTATAAGCGATATCTAGAACCTTAAAGTAGGTACACTAAAAAACTTGACTGTTTTACCGATTTTCAAATTAATAGGTACTCGGATATTACAAAAGATGTGCAAAAACTCGTAAAAATGTATTCTATAGTTCGGGACGTCTATCTATGTTCGGGACCCACTGAAAATGCAATATGGCCAGGCATAGGCAATGTATTTTTAATGGGAGCTCGGCACACTGTGTTGCCGTCTTGCCGATAACTGCAACAGGGTCGGCCCAGTAGTAGTCAATGTTATTTGAGGATCTATTCTTGGCTTCATATATGAGGACCGTTTGACCTTCTTAATTTCTAATTGAACAGCTTTCTGCATAATTTTGCATTAAGAACCGTAACCATTACTGCAAAAAAGATCCGGGCCATATTCTGGTAGCCAATGAACCAGCCGACTAAATTAGTTATGCAAGTAACCTGACCGCAGAAGCAATCCAAGCGGCTTGGTTGCTCTCTGCATAATAGAGAAGATAATTGGTGACAGTTCGTTACTTGGTTATGTAGGAGCGAGTGTTAAGTATAAAAATAGAAAAACGAATATTTTTGTGATACAATATGAATGATAATATTAGAATATCTCACAGAATTCTACTGATGACAACTATTGGATACCTAAGAGAAGTAAAGCCCAAGCTTTGGCCAGGTTAACCGTGTATTAAGATAATAAATAGAAAAATGAATGTTGAGAATAAAAAGGTTAGCTATTTAAAAACACGTGAGACATTTATTGATAAAAACAGTTTGAAGAAAACACGTGTGCTGAAATAGATATCAAAAAAACAAATGGGTCGTCTGACATTATTTAAAGACTTGGTAATAGCACTATGACTTGAATGAACAAGTATTACAAAAAAAAAACTACTTCAAAAACGTGCAGATGCCATCACCACATTTTAACCAAATTTATATGGGACCACCCCTGAGGTACCCCCTTACTAACAAAAAAAGAATCGTATAAATCGGACAAGGTGGTAAAGCATTATCGCTAAACATACATAAAAAAATTAAGACTTTGAGGATTTTCTCAAGGATCCAATTATTAGATTTTGACCAAATTTATATGGGACCACCCCTAAAGTATCCCCTTTCTAACAAAAAAAAATCATTGAAATCGGACACCGTGTTAAAGAATAATCGCTGAACATACATATAAAAAAAATATCGCGACGATTTGATAACCTCCTCCTTTTTTGAAGTCGGTTAAAAAAGTATAAAATCCAAAGACAGAGGACAAAAAAATCTGTGATGCACTTAATTCCGAGCGATTGCATGCAATTTTATGAACATATAACCGGCACGGACATCGATGACAATATGGATGGATTCAGAGGGGCGCCTGTATTTGAACTGGAACCTATGATGGTAGAATAAATTAAAAGAACAATATGTATTTTAACCTACTTCTTTTAACAGTAAGGTATCTTTAACCAAACAGTGTTAAAATTTATTTCACAAAAACGAGTCGACCCACAAAACCCAAAAAATCGAAGTGAAATATATTTTTCTTTAAATTTGTAGCAAAGATCTGCGGCTTATTTTCGGCAACTGAACTTCTGCCTAATGTGGCACTAGTCTAAGAATTCATATTGTATACGCATATTGTAAAGCCCATAGTATAATAATTGTCAAAACTTTGACATTTAATTACTCAATAACTTTTTTTGGAGTTGGTTCAGTTATGATTTCTAACCTACAACATGAAGTTTAAGAAATGCAAACGCGTACAAATGCTCCATGCGATTGCGAAAATTGTGATTTTTAATATGATTTATTATTTAGTCAATGACGATAAATTGAGTGTGACTGCAGCTGTATGTTGGCTTACAAAATGAATTGGGTCAGTGATTTATACCATCAAAAAAAATGAGGAACAAAATAATTTCTAATTGAAATCTCCTATAAGAAGAAAAAAGCTGATAGGGCAGTCAAATTCTCGCGAATATACATATGGTGAGGGTTTTAAGAGCTTATTGAGAGGAATTGTGCACAATTATTTTTTTTAACATTCTGCCAACTTTGAATGCAATTTACAATATTACTAGAGGGAATGAGAATTCACAACCGTTCTCTTTAAGAACCCTATGTAGATTTATGAAATATATTGCTTTTGAATATGTGAAGCGTGGTCGTAGAAGTACAATGTTGGCGGCACAGGTATTTAAGAGCCAATTAAACAATATCACCAACAAAATTGTAACGTTATCTATTTAGATACTTGGGTCAACGTGAGTCAAACGGTTAACTATTCATGGTGTAATAACAAAGAGGTCCACGTTTCGTTATTGTTCATGTAGGATATCAAGGTGTATTTTTACCTGGTGCCGCGCGTGTTTTCTTTGCAAAGAAAAACGATGGCGATTATCATGACGAAATGAACGCCGACTATTTTGAGCCATATATTGAGGGATAGCTGATTCCTAACTTACCCAAAATAGGACGAATGAATATTGTTGTTACGGATAACGCTTAGTATCATTCCCTTAATTTTAATTTTCCAGCTACCTCATAGAACAAACCCAAAATAAAAAAATTGGCTGTTTGAAAAAAACATTTTCTTTAACGATTCTTATTTAAAAGCTGAGTTGCTTGAAGCTGCCAACTCATACAGAGAGCAATAAGACAAATATAAGATTGAGGAAATAGTTGCAAAATACTGTTTTACGCTTACCACCGTATCATTGCGAACTTAACTGGATCAAGATGGTATGGAATCAAGTAAAGCACTATATTGCCATTAACAACTAATTTCAAACACAGAATTTTCGTTTATTGATAGATGAAGCATTTGAACATGTCACTGAACAAAATTGGCGTAAACAAAAAAAGAAATGTGGGGCGCTGATAACCTCCAAGACAACGTTGATGAAATCATTCTAATAGTAAATTCTTGCGATAGTTCTGAGAGTGAGCTTTCCGACCTCGACGATGACTTACAATGACTTATCTATTACGTAAATTTTGTTTATTATTTGTTAACTTATAAATGAAATTTACTGTTTATTATTTATTATTGAACATACAAATTTTGAGATAAAATATAAACCCTTGTCGAAATTTGGCCGAGACAGGACCTGTTCTTTTTTTGGCCGATCCCAGCATAAAGACGGCTGGCAAAGGCGTGTTTCATAAGACTTCAAACTGTCTCAGTGTCTCGCAGTCCAAGGGCGTAGATAAGGGGAATGGGGAAGGGGGTAATGCGGGTAATTACCTCCCAAGCAAGTCAACAACAATATATTTTTAAACGTTACATTAAACAAAAATAGAGAGATCAAATAAATACAATAAAACAAAAAGTTTCCGAAATATTGTCATCTAAAATAATAATATTCGTGCAAATTGAAAATTAAGATTTATATAGAGGGTCCCATAAGTGCGTAATTGTTCAATATTTCAATTCGTGTTATTGACAAACAAACAAGTTTTAATAAAAGATATATGGATTTGATAAATACATATTTTGAACATATATTTCGATATACAGGGTGTTGCGTTTTTGCCTGACAAATAAAAATGTATATTTTTTAAATAGAACACCACATGTTTTATTTTTAGAATGGCTTGCGAATACTGTATTTAACCCTATAATGTTTTTAAAAAATATTACAGTATTGTCAAACAATTAATTTTTTTTAATTAGAGAATGATGCAGACCCCAAATCAAATTATAATTTAGGTAGGTTTACATTGATTTCAAAATTGCTTAAGAGCGTTATCCAGTACGCTCCTAATTCAGATTTAAAATCTGCTAAATAATACGCGACGCAGTACATATCAGCCCAATTTGGCAACGTCGCGCGCTTGATGTTTATGGGATAGTTTCTCGGAGATACCTATTCAAGTCGGTTGCCCGTTGTAGAGCAAAATTTAGTACAAAAGTCGCTTATTGCCCGAGATGATAAAAATTTGCGCAGAACCAAATCAGACCCTATTCCTATGTAGGTATTATGTAAATAAGTAGTATATGAAACAGCCACTTACGACATTTTTTAGTAGGTACCTATGTAGGACAGACATTTTTTATGATAAGAAAAAAACAAAAAATCACTGGAATTTCTTTTCATTTTATTTGCATAATCTTTTGATTTCACATCCCATAGGCATCTATTTTCTCTGTATAAATCAATAAAGTCTTCCCAGAACGTCTTATTTTTTAAATCCATAATATTGATTGAACCAAAAATAAATAAAAATTATATCGTAACTGCTCGCTGCGGCAGGAATACACTCCACACGTTCAGACTTGCGTTCAAACCCCACCCCTGACACGACTCGTTGATACGATATTTTACGGAAGCTCCCTACTACAAAAGATTTGACGACTGCATACTGCAAACCATCCAATTTCTTTACACACGCTACGATTTATCGTTAATGCGGCAGTTTCGATGGATATTGTACTGCATGCAGTACGATAAATCGTAACGACGTGTGTAGGCCGCTTTAGAAATGCAGCGTTACGAAAATTTTACCTGTCTGGTTTGAACAGCTAGACGATTCAAGAGATATGGTCAATATCAGTGCGACGTTGCTAGATCTTTATTTTCTCCGGTAAATCTAAATAAATTTTTCGATTTTTAGTTTTTCTAGGTTTACAAAAAAAAATAGACCTCGCAAAAAAATAGTTAAAATAAACATTATATTTTTTGAATAAAAATACGCCTACAGTCTCGTTTTACTTTTATTTTGCTTTGTTGATATATTAAAAATGCTTTTTTTATATATCAAAATTTAGACTCCGCAGTCCCATTATGCACGACTCCATAAATATGCATGCCAAATTTCATAAAAAAATATTAAAAAAT